CATAGACCTCATCTCTACAATAAATCAAAAAATCAGCCGGGCGTGGTAGCGCATGCCTGTAACTCCGGGTACTTGGAAGGCTGAGGCGGGAGGATCGCCGGAGCCCAGCAGGTCGAGGCTGCGGTGGCCGGGAGCGGCCACTGCACTCCAGTCTGGGCGACAGAGTGAGACTCCAACTCAAAAAAAAAAAAAAAAAAAAAAGGAAAAGAACTTTCCACTGCAATTCTCTGCCTCACACCCTGGAACCCTGGCAGGGTAGCATGGCAGCTGCAACAGGCCAAACATAAGAAATGCAGCAAGGGTGGACACTGTGCACACGCCTGTAATCCTAGCACTCTGGGAGTCTGAGGCGGGAGGATTGCTTGAGGCCAGGAGTTGGAGACCAGCCTGGGCCACATAGCAAGCCTCCATCTCTACGAAAAACTTAAAAAATGGTCCGGTATGGTGGCATGCAGCTGTAGTCCCAGCTACTCGGGAGGCTGAGGTGGGAGGATGGCTTGAGCTCAGGAGCTGGAGGCTGTAGTGAGTTGTACTCCAGCCTGGGTGACAAAGGGAGATCCAGTCTTTAAAAAATAAAAAAAGAGCCGGGCTCGGTGGCTCAGCCTGTAATCCCGCGCCTTTGGGAGGCTGAGGTGAGTGGATTGCCTGAGCCCGCGGGTTCGAGACCCGCCTGGGCAGCGAGACCCCATCTCTACCATAAATCAAAAATTAGCTGGGCGTGGTAGCGCACGCCTGTAATTCCAGCTACGTGGAAGGCTGAGGCGGAAGGATTGCCGGAGCCCAGCGGGTCGAGGCTGCAGTGGCCGGGAGCGGCCACTGCACTCCAGTTTGGGCCACAGAGTGAGACTCCAACTCAAAAAGAAAAAGAAAAAGAAAAATAAAAAAATAAAATGAAAAAAGAAAGGCGGCTGGATTGGTTTTCGAGCTGGGGTGTGCACCCAGGGCTCCTTCACCCAATCCCAAGCCAGCGGCAAGAGTCCCCTTACGGCCTGTCTCATGACGGCCTGGGTCCTGGTCTGTCGTCCCCCCGCCTCCCCAGGCTGGGGGCTCCCCCAAGGCAGGGGCATCCTCTGCTCCCTCTCAGCCCCCTCCTCCCAGGAGTCCCCATTCCCAGGGACAGACCTGTGGGAGCAGGGCCACGGTCTAGCACCACATTGCCCACAAGGGGGCGCCCCAAAGCCACGGATGGGGCCACATTTCGCATTCATCCCAATGTCACCCCTCATTTGGGGAAACCAAGACCCAGAGCAGCTATCAAGACACTCATTCATGATGGGGGAGAGAAGGGAGTGACGTTTATTGGGCGCTTACTCTCCACTGAGTGTGGGATCAAACCCGCATTGTGCACTCAGCCACTTGACCCTACTATTACAGTCCTTATTGACCTGATGGGAAACTGAGGCTCAAAGGGTCAGAGATCCACCAAAAGCGATACTGTGAGTGACTGGAATTTGAACCCAGGATTTACTTTTTTTTTTGAGTTAGTCTCACTCTGTCACCCAGGCAGGGGCACGCTCCCGGCTACCGCAGCCTCAACCTGCTGGGCTCAGGTGATCCTTCCGCCTCAGCCTTCCAAGTAGCTGGAATTACAGGCACCTGCCACCACACCCGGGGGGAATTTTTTAAAAAGTTATGGTAGAGATGAGGTCTCGTCAAATTGCCCAGGCTGGTCTCAAACCCGTGGGCTCAGACAATCCTCTCACCTCAGCCTCCCAAAGTACTGGGATTACAGGTATGAGCCACCGCATCCGGCCCTATTTTTTTTTTTTTTTCTCAATAGGAGTCTCACTCTGTCACCCAGGCTGGAGTCCAGTACATGCTCATGGCCACCCCAGCCTCGACCTGCTGGGCTCAGGTGCTCCTTCCACCTCAGCCTTCCACATAGGTGAGACTATAGGCGCGCCCAGTTAATTTTGTGATTCACTGCAGAGAGGAGGTCTTGCCAAGTTGCCCAGGTTGGTCTCGAACCCCTGGGCTCAGGCAATCCACTCACCTCAGCCTCCCAAAGGCGCGGGATGACAGGCTGAGCCACCGAGCCCGGCTTGATTCACTTTTTAAATAATGGCTAAAACCTCTGCCTTTGAAACCAGGAAAACTCTAAGCCCATTCCCAGGATTCCTTCAGAGGCCCAGATACTTTAGGATGTGATAACATCACCTCACATAAGGCCATCACTTAAATATGCAGACTTCCCTGGAGGCCCAACAGTGAACCTGGGCAGTCCCATCCCCACCCTCCCTCACCCCTGAGGGAAGACAGAAATCCCACCCTTCAAGACCTGGCAGAATTGAGCCTCCCAGAATTCCTCAGGCAAAGTTCAGGCCCAGCAGATTCACCTGCTGTGTGACCTTAGGTAGGTCACTAGAGCGCTCCGTGCCTCTTTCCTCTTCGGTAAAATGGAGATTATAACCTCACAGGGTTGCACTGAGGATTAAGTGTGTTAAGACACGAAACTGCTTACAGCCGTGCTTGGCACGGAGTAAGCCCTCAAAAGAAAGTCTGCTAAATAAAGACAACTGCAGGAAAATTCCCAGGTGCCCTCTGTCCCATGAGCCCAGAGCTCAGGAAGTCTCTTGTAAGTAGGAGTGGCAAATCAAGATATACAACACTCCCATGTCACTGTGGTCAGTGTTGGGTCAAATGGGGAGACTCCTGGGGCGGGGGTTGAGGCTCTGGCCTGGGGAGGGACAGTGAGGACCTCCTTGGAATCCAGCCTCAGAGGAATTGCAGAAAAGCAAGTGCAAAGGCCAGCGGGTTGCAAAGAACATGGCAGAGCCAGGCATAGTGACACACACCTGTAGTCCCAGCTATGTGGGAGGCTGAGGGAGGAGCATCACTTGAGCTCAGGAATTGGAGGTTGCAGTGAAATGTGATTGTGCACAGCACCCCAGTCTGGGTGACAGAGTGAGACCTCATCTCTTTATCTCTCTCTTTTTTTTTTGGAATCCCACTCTGTCGCCCAGGCTGGAGTATAGTGGCAGGCTCATGGCCACCACAGCCTCGACACTGCTGGGCTCAGGGGATCCTTCCACCTCAGCCTTCCAAGTTGGTGGAACTAGAGATGCACACCACCATGCCTGGCTAATTTTTGATTTATTGGTAGAGACAAGGTCTCGACAAGTTGCCCAGGTTGGTCTCGAACCCCTGGGCTCAGGTAATCCACTTGCCTCAGCCTCCCAAAGTGCTGGGATTACAGGCTTGAGCCACCGCACCTGGCAAGACCTCATCTTTCTCTCTCTCTCTTTTTATTTTATTTTTTTTTTGAGTTGGAGTCTTACTCCATCGCCCAGGCTGGAGTGCAGTGGTATGCTCAAGGTCACCCCAGCATTGACCTGCTGGGCTCGGGTGATCCTTTCACCTCAGCCTTCCGAGTAGCCAGAACTACAGGCATGCGCTACCACACCTGGCTAATTTTTTTTATTTATTGTAGAGACAAGGTCTCACCAAGTTGCCCGGGCTGGTCTCGAACCCTCAGGCTCAGATAATGCACTCACCTCGGCCTCCCAAAGTGTTGGGATTACAGACTGAATCACCGAGTTTGGAGGAGACCACATCTTAAAAAAAAAAAAAAAA